ATCATTGAAGTTAGAATGTACAAAATTAAGAGAAAATGAAAACAAGAAAAAGTTATGTTTTTTGATCCAAAATTTGCACTTCTTTTTATAAACTCACCAATTTGGACTTTGGTACTACAAGCATTTATCAATCTACATTTTGATAGTTTGGATTTGGCCAAACTTTACAATGAATTTGATCAAAACTTAGTAATTAACATTACAAATCCTTTAGATAGTGTTACATTGAATCAATGTTGGTTTGCAACACAATTCAAATCAACTAACTTCTACTAAAATAAATAAGTTGAAAATCAAACTTCTATCATGTAGAATTCTACACCAACTACAATTAGAAGTTGGTATTGTATTATAACATGCCTATAGGGTGAAAGAAGAAAATATATATATATATATATATATATATATATATTATAAAATATCTTTATTGAAAATATAGTAGAAAATTACTTTAGAAAACATAAGTAAAGTTAAAAAGATAGTTTAAAAATTTTGAATTAATTTTTTTATTTTGTAAAAAAAATATTTATTTTTTAGGGCCATAAACAAGATTGGTTGTGAACCAAGGTTAAAACCTAATTCCAAGGCACAAAATTGCATGCTTATAGCAAATGTGGGATTCTTTAGTTAATTAGAGAGTGAAATTAGAAAGAAGACTTGATGCAATTTCTTTGAGCATTGCTTTTGAGTGATTTGAATAGACAAAGACTTTGTAATAGCTTTGTAAAGTTAGGCTTGTTTTATATGATTCTACTTTTTGTAGAATAAAAAGAAAGATTATATTTTGAAAAATCTGTAAGCTTTTTAGAAAATATACAAGAAAAAATTTGTTCTTTTGTGAACAAGATTGTTATAAATATGTATTATTAATTAAAGACTAATTCAATGATTGGATCAAAAGTAATCAAAATTCAAGTGGATTAAGATTTTTAAAATTAAAATTTAAAGGTTAATAAGGATTTTATGATTTTGCGCAAGTTATTACTTGAATTGAAATAATTGCTTTGTAAGCTAATAGTTGACTTAGTTTCCAAAATTAATTAAAATATTTTAAAGCAACTGAATGGTGCAAAAAGAAGTTATTAGTCTTAGAAGATTGACATAAAAGTTGGAAAAAAGAAGACAATTGACACCTAAGTAGATTAAGAGCTTTTTCTCTTAATTTATACATTTAATTCTCTTCAAATTTTGTATTCTTGTTTTCAACTAGTAGATAGAGAATTATAATTTTTTTGAATGAAGATTAGTGGTTAAATTAATAATTATTAAGGTTTTAAATCTTATATAAAGTTTGATCAAAGTTAATTAGTGATAATTAGGTTTCAATTAGAGTTTAATGAAAATTTATTTAGAATATCTTTAGAATTTTATTAGAATATATGTGAGATTTGATTACAATTTATTTAAGATTTGATTAAGATTTTTTAAAATTTGTATGAGGTTTGGATAAGATTTGATTAAATTTCAATTGGAATTGACTTAAGATTTCTTTAAGATTGACTAAAATTTAGTTGGGATTTTTAGGTTTTTCTTATGATTTCTTTGTGATGGCTTTAGAATTTCTATTGGTTGGTTAAGCTTGCTTAAGGATTTAATCAAGTTTGTTAGGAATTATTTAAGATTTATTTGGAATTAATTAGAATGTAATAATATGTTTCTAGAATTTTTCTAAGATCAGTAAGTTTTACTTAGCATAATACAGCCTACTCAAGTTACTCAAGATTGCCAAAAAGATGTTTCTAAATACCTTATAAATTGTTTTTGGATTATAAATCTAACTTCAAGGTAAGATCAAACTCTTCCATAATCAAATGCCTAATGCATTCTTAGGCTGATTATCACGTAACACAACATTGGATTGCAACAAAATTAATTTAATTAGACAAAACAGTAGGTAAGAAATAGCAACATAGAGAATCAAATTTGCATAAATGATTTGTATAAAATATTTTATTCAGTAGGATAATTAAAATTACTAAAAGAGAAAGAAAGTCCCTTCAACATTAATTTATTGTACACTTGTACTATTCTTATATAAGTATAAAGATTAAATGTATTAGCTTAGATTGCTATTTTATTATTTTGTCTTAATTTGATCTATCTTGATTGTCAAAATCTAAAGTAGATTAAAAATTATTGGCTTGCTTTATACATTATATTTTGGATCTAAATTTGATTAAGGAATTTGGTTCTCAGATAGATTGTATATTCTAATTTTATTAGTCCAAGTTTTTTCTATTTTCTATATTTTAATGAATTGAATCGAATAATAAGTTAATTAAGCTGATTAACTATACTTATGATGAAATATTAATTTATATTACTAAAATAATAATTATTTAATAGAATTTTATAATTTATGAAATTTTTTATATTCAAATAATAGTTAAATCTGATATATTTGGAATAAATATAAATTAGACATAGACAGATAATTTTATTTTAAAAAAATACCTATTTTATTCAAATAATTTTGAATAAATGATTTATCGTCAATATGTAGCTACTTGACTTTAAATTTTCTATGAATTGAATATTTTATTTACTACTAATCATTTATGAAAATTATTTTTTAATGTAATTTTTATACTAAGTTATATTAAATAATAGAAAATAAATAGCATAATAGACAATAGTATTTAATTTATATTTTTATATATTTTTATATATTAGACATATTATTTTTGTAAATTATTTGTGGTCCAATATATGGATAAATTTTTGTATCTTTTGTCACTTAAACAAACAATTGAATATTTTTTTAAAATAATTATTAAAATAGTATAGTGAATTGTTTGTTTCAAGAAAGATTTTTAAATACATAAATAATATTCGATTGGATATACACTCATAAACACTATTATAATCTATGATGAAAATATTAGTAGATTATAATATATGTTTAATATTAAATAATACTTTTATAAAGTATTATTTTTGGATTTTTAGTAAAATTTTATATTTATATAATTTAGAAAATTTTGTAAACACAATTGGTTTTTTATATAGAAAAAGATAATTTAAATAGAAGTCTTTAATGAATGGGCTTATATTATCTAATTTATATAAATCAAGAAAAAAATATTAATTTTAAATCCTACCATATTGCATTAAAGATATAATTGATTAAATTTTTAAAAAATATATCTATTCTTTATAAAATAATATATATTTTTGGCTAGTTATAGTATATATGGACAAAAGATCCATAAAATATATATTTTAAGTATAAAAGTTTTTTTATTTTTATTTTTAAAGATGTATAATAATATAAATTTTATTTTTGAAAAGATAATTTAGAGCCAAATTTTGTAACAAATTTTTAGATATTAAGATTTTTAAAATTTTAAAAGAAGTCTCTTCATTAAAAGTAATGTACAATTTTTTATAGATTATATATATTACACTCATAAACACAATATAAAACAAAAAAATTGTAAGCATTACATTGCAATGTTTTAAAATATACATATTTTTTGTGAAAGAATACATTTAGATTATTAAATATACATATAGAAGTATCAATGGAGTATTTTAGAAACTTCAATTATATATTTATATTTTAAGTAACCAAACAATTTATAGGAATTTTTTATTATATAGAATAAAAATGTAGAAATAAATACATATATTAAAGATATATTAAAGAATTCCATATATAAATCTAAAATAGAGCCAAACTTTTAGAATTTTCAAAAATGACAAAAATGACAAAAATTAAAAAAAATGAAGAATAATAAAATAAAATTCAATTTTATATATAATACTTATATGTAAGCTTAGAAAATATATAAATTAACTTAAACAAGTTTCGGTTTCATGAAGCTATCAATTCAATCCATATAGGCATGATATATGGATCTTTAATACATAATTCAAGAAAGTCCAACAAAAAGAGGATTCAATAAAAAAAAAAAAAAAAAAAAAAAAACATAAAATAAAATAAAATAAAATTCAAAACACAATAATGTGACTATTACTGATTTTCTTGTGTAATTTATGAAAAAAAATTGTAATATTATTTTTTATAATATTAAAATTAATAATTCAAAATGATCATTCTTTTTGCTAAATATTTATGTAAATGTAAGCATATCATTTTAATTACATCACTCTTTACTAAAAATCTTAACTCTTTAACAAATAAATTTATTTTAATATGAATATAGTAAAAAGTAAAAAATGTTACTAAAATTATTAATTTTAATTAATTTAAGTTGTTATAGAGTTAATTTTTCTTATTAATTTTTATTTTAAAATTTTAAAATACAAATTTAATCATGTATTTTTTTTTTACTTTTTTACTTTTACTTTTAAATATATATATATATATATATATATATATATATAAAATATTAAAAAATACATATATGAGTTATGATTTTAGTAAATTAAATAAATGTATATTTATTTTAAAAAAATATTATATCAAAAAGTAATGATTATATATGTATATATATATATATATGTGATATGAGCCACACTTCCTACATAATATAAGGAATATTTTCATTGAAATTGAATTAATATTTATAAAAATAAATGTTTCAATTATAATAAATAAATAAACAAATAAAAACTATGTCAAATAAAAATAAAACTAAAAAAAAAGACTTATATCTACTATCCAAAAACATTCTTTATTACACAAATAAGAAGAATATTGTTTTGTGAGGGTTTTTTTTATTTATTTTATTTATTTTATTTATTTTTATATTGTAGCACAAATGACAAATAATTCAGAAGATTTGATAGAAAAAAATGTCTTATTTTGCCTATAGAAATATTTGATGTAACATTAGTAATTTGTAGAAAAGTAGGTGTACACTATAATTGGAAACGACGAAGCGGCGCCGGACATTTTTGAGACAATGTCCACGGAGGCTTTTTTTTTTTTTTTTTTTTTTTTTTTGGCTTTTGCGTGATTATGCGTCGGAGACGGCGACCCGGGTCGCGATTCAGAAAGGTGAGAGGCGAATTACGAAAGAATCCCGTGTCAGGGAGGATTCTGCAAGAGAGAGAGAGAGAGAGAGACTGTCACCGATGTCGTATTGCTTGGACGGGGTATTTTTAACACGCAATCTGCCGAACACAGCAGGACAATTCTTTTAGGGTTTCTCTACATCTCCCAGTCGATTTGGATCGTGTGCATACGCCATCGACGTCGAGAACAGCTTTTGCATGTGGGCAACTGAAGGTTTCGGTGTGTTGTTCATCACGCAACTCGATTCCTGCAAGAATTGGTTGATTAGAGCGCTTGTGTGCCATGCTCGCAGGGGTTGCATCGCCCACATCCGCATGGTGGATTTATGTAAGTAGGAGCCGTAGTGGAGGGGATAGAGCTTCGACGAGGAGTTGGGAAACTTTTGATTAGAGCGAGGGTAGACAGATTTCAATCGGGCGTCACGATGAGGCTACTAACGCAGCGCAGCATGGAGTTGGCAGTTCGAATGTCAGGGGAGCTGCAGTACATGATCGAGTTGTCCGTAGTGCCGGTGATGAAGGTGCTGACGATGTGTGCATTAGGCACGCTTCTAGCGCAACCTAAGGTCAACATCATTAATCCCGCTGCGACGAGGCTGTTGAGCAAGCTCGTCTTTGCTCTGTTCCTGCCGTGCTTGATCTTCACAGAGCTTGGCGAGTCGATGACCTTTCAAAACATGCTTCACTGGTGGTTCATCCCGGTGAACGTGATGTTAAGTTACTTCATCGGTTGCGTAGCAGGGGTGCTTGTAGCTCTAATTTGCAAGCCACCAGCGCAATTCTTCAGGTTCACAGTGGTGATGACAGGGATCGGGAATTCCGGCAACCTTCCACTTGCAATCATCGGATCGATATGCCACGGTCAATCGCAACCGTTTGGCAACAAGTGCGTGTCGTGATTTTTTGCGAAGATGTCACGAGTATAATTCATTTCCTCACGCTATTTTCTGCATCTTTAATTTTTCTCAAACTTGGTGAGGAAGGTCTCCGTTGACAGATGAGGCGTGTACTGCTTGTGAACAGATGCAACCAGTCTGGGGTGGCGTACGTAGCCTTTTCGCAGTGGATTGCAGTGATCGTGCTCTATACGTTCGTGTATCACATGCTAGAACCTCCCGAGGAGTTTTATGAGTTAGTGTCGGACGAGGGAGAACTAGATGCGTCGGTGAAAAGGAATAATGTGGCCCTCGCAGCCCTGGAGACAGAAGAGTCAATGCCTTCGGTGACGTCTGCGGAGTGGCCGGGTGTGTTCAGTGCTATGACGGAAGAGTCGCGGACACCGCTGCTGTCCCGCGTTTTCCGGTATCCTTCAGTATCGTCACATTCATCAGCAGGTGAGAAACAATGGACGATGCAAACATTGCATACGTGAAAGTACGGAAATAACATGCTACGAGCATGTGGAGATGTCCAACATGCGTCGCTTTGTTGAATATCTAGGAGTCTTGTTTGTGACCATGGGTGAGATATTCATGTAAGGAACGAAATGAACTCGAGATTGAACCTCTAGTGCGATGGCCGACAAGCAGTCTGATTTGCAATTCATTCATCCCTATTTTGTTGGAGCGTTTTGGCGAATGGAATGCTGATCTGGATGTGTCCATCAAGGAACGACATAAAACGTATTGTGTAGTTCTCGAAAAAAATGTGCTTTCCACAATCAGCCAGTTCCTTGCTTTGTCGGTCATTGTCCACAATTGTCTGCATACACAATATCTATAAATTTTAATGTTCGTTTGTATTTCCCTCTGGATACTCAATTCAGAATCGGTAATGTCAAGGCATTTAGCTTCGCTGATTTTACACCACCTGCCTGTTTTCCCCGGTTTGTTGGTGTCCACTGCTATTGTTGTCGTGCTTGATTGAGAAATGCTTGGTGGCGTTGCAGTGGAGGGAGACGGAGACAGTCCCAGAGCACGTGTCCGGTGTCTGGCGGAGCCTCGCGTGGTGAGGAAGATTCGTGTGGTTGCTGAGAAGACCCCGATCCGGCATTTAATGCAGCCTCCGATCATAGCGTCTGTGTTGGCCATCTTTGTGGGGATATTTCCCAATACCAACGCGCTGCTGTTCGGAGATGACGCACCTCTGGGGTGGTTCACGGACAGCTTGACCATACTGGGTGCAGCACTAGTACCGTGCGTGATGTTGGTGCTGGGTGGAACGCTGTCAGTAGGGCCTGGCAGCTCGGAGCTGGGAATGAGGACCACGATCGGCATCTCGGTGACTCGTCTGGTGTTGCTGCCGCTAATAGGTATCGGCGTCGTGTTGCTTGCGCACAAGCTGGGCGTTAATCCTCACGGGGACAAGATGTTAATGTTCGTTCTCCTGCTGCAACATACGATGCCGACGGCGATCCTGTCGGGCGCCATGACGAGCATGCGCGGGTATGGTGAGCGGGAAGCTTCGGCACTTTTGTTCTGGCAACACGTATCTGCGGTGGTGACGATTGCCGCGTACATCCTGATTTACCTGAAGATTGTAACCCAGCTTTAGGTTGTGAAGAACGTTGACCTGATTTGACTGGGAAGCAGGCGATGTCCACACAGGGATGCCGAGATTCTTTGTAGGCTGATCTGCAAATAATCTGAAGCAGCGGGAGTTGGAGCACGATAGCATGTTGCAGGAGGTAATCCTGGCCGCATTGCGTGGGAGGCAAGTGTAGAAAGATATATTGGTTTGGCGAAATGATGTAGAATAATGGATGTCTAGTTCCAGACCGATCAAGTAACTTGTGCCGCGGGTGATGCCCTTAAAGGGTTAGTGCCACAGCCGACGTTAGGCCAAGGAGTCGCTGGCTCGGTGTTGTGGATGTACTAGATGAACCCGTGTCCTTGTCACGGAAAGTGTGATTCAAATGAAGATATTTTTGAAAGTTATGTTTGTGAGCCAAAGCATATTTTTCAAATACATATTTAATACAATACAAATAGAAAGAAATAAAATACACAATGGAGCTTTCAGGTACAAAGTAGGATAGGTAAACCTGTGTTGTATAATATGCAAAAAATGTGTTGTATAATATGCAAAAAAAGTAGTTAATTTTGTTCAAGGAACTACTTGTGAAAATATTAAAAAAAATAAAATAAAATACATTAAAAAATCATAAAAGTATGATAAGACATTTAAAGTTGTATTAAAGTCAATAAATAGATAAATTAATATACAAAACACAAAAATAAATTACTAATATTTATTTAATTAAAACTTTTGGAAAAAAATATTTAGCATGGAGTTTAAATTGTTTTTTCTACAAAGAATAATCTTGATAGAATGGGACAAAGAGTATTGAGAGAGTTCTATATAAAGTTGACTATGGAAAAAAAATAGGTTGTTGTAGATCCAAACTAACATGCTTCATTGATTATCCTTGGAATTTATTTATTATTATCCAATATGTTATTAATATGTTATTCAAAAAATAATATCATTATATGTTATTGATTATTGAAAAGATAGATTAGAAGTTACTTCCTCTGTGGAATGAACAGAAGTTCTTTTGTTGTGGAAGTTAATGTAATCCAATTTGATGAATTTGACTGGATAAACATTATTGTTGTCGGTACCATCTTTGACAACAATTTCATTGATGCTTAAATATTCTTACTTTTTAAAGAAATATGACCTTAATCTTCTCATTAATATCCACTCTATCATTATTCCTTGCACATAAAATGATTCTATCTCTTAAAAAAGCATCATTTGCTACACCATCTTCTATAAGCTTTGGATAAACAACATCAACTAAAGACATTAATTATTGATCTACAATCATGTAATCAAGAAGTGTAACTACATTGTTAGGCAATAAGTTTGTATCGTTTCCAATTTGATAAGTAGCAAATAAAAATATTAGTCAATAATAATACAACTATAAAGAATTCTAATGCACCACCATCTATATATACAATATGTGTGCATTCCATACCTTAAGAAGCCAATTACCGAACTCAATATCTGCTTGAAGTGCTCCTAACTTCAACCTCATGTTGTCTTTTAATATATGGATTTTTATTTGAGGCCAAAGTATTAAATGTCAAAAAGATGCTCCTACAATTTCCTCCCAAGTTCCTTTCACAATTACTAGCAATATTTGGCAAAAATCTCCACCAAAAACTATTGTAGCTCTTTCAAATGGACAATTACTATCTCAAATGACTCTAAAGGAACAATCAATTGCATCAAGACAATAACAATATTACATTGGAAGTTCATCCCAAATAATAAGCAAAGTTTGAGGAATAAACTCAACATAGTTATAATTCTTAGTAATTAAAAAAAATAAATTTTTATTACAATCTAATGGAATCTTAAATGCAAAATAGGCAGTTCTTCCTCCTTTAAGTAGCAATGCGGCAATTCTTGATGATACAACACATATGACAATTTTTTAAATTAATTTAATTTTAAAATCAAAAGTATTGTAAACAAATATTTTATTAGTTCTTGTAGGTCCATTTAGAAAAAAACATGCATCCATGTTCTTTGATTATAGAAGCGACAATATCATCATATGCTTTTTTTGTTCAAGATTCAATTATAGAATATATTGCTTCAAATTTGCTTCTAATTATTAAATTTTTCATATTTTTTTCAGCAATAAATCAATTTCTATTGACTTTTGTATTCTAATTGTTTCTTGATAATGGCATTGAAGGAAATTATGCAAACATATTATCCAAGTCTTACAAAATCTTATCTAGTAAGAAAAGTCCAAAATCCTTAATTTGTTCTTTGATTGGATTCCTAATTCCATGTTTTCTTTGCAAGCGAGCATTAAAATCATAAAAGATGATTTTTCAAAATCTTTTCCATAAGTTTAATGGATTTAGCAGATTTTTGTGTAGTAACAAAAAAACAAATAATGCCCTCAATTGACATCCAGTTTGTAATCTTGATGCATCTTCCAAACATTGTTGTTACTTTCTATCATCTTCAAGCAATCTTAAAACTATATATATACTTTTAAATATTAGATAGAAAATTCCATGAATAGTCTTTAAGTGCTTAAATAATTATAGACCTTTAATATGGATTAACAAAAACATCAAATAATATCTTTCTTCCATTGATAGATTTATAAAATATAATCTTTCAATAGCAAATCTAAATTTTTTAATGGCTACATCCTTCTTTTCTTATGCCAAACAAAATGTTGTAGAAAGTATTGATAAGTATATTATCTTACCACTGCCATTGCTACACATGTTTAAAAAAATGAAGTTAATATTTTCTTTTATCTTTTAGCATGTTTTAAAATTGCAGCTATCTTGTCATTTGGATTATATATCACTTGATGCATTCTTGGAAGATGAATGCTAAATAAACAACATTTGGCATTTCTTCATGGATCTATATGCCAAAAAGTCTCTAAGCAGCCTCCAAAGCTCCAATATATTTTACATCCAAATATTGTTTGATCTTATCTTATTGGTTTTTAAATTATATTATAATGTAATTATGGCTCTTATAGATATATTTATAGATATACTTGATGGCACAAATAGGTACACATACCTAAATATTAATATGACAATTATACTTCTAAGATAGTTTTGGACAAAATGAAATAATATTCCTATTATCAATAAGTATTGTTTAAACTTCAAATATTCTTCTATCATTTCTTTATCAATATTGACGATATCCATTGACATCCATTGTTGTTTCTTTGACAGACACCTTTGGATATTTCTTTGTATAATGACCATCTTCCATGCAAGGTACTTAAAGATTTTCCATTCGACATGAACTATGTACCATGCATTATAGAATAACTTCGATTAGCTCTAACTTGTTGTTTTTATTTAAAAGCTTTGTAAAAATCATACAATCTACATTTCTAGCATATTTAATCTTACTTTTTCTATTCAAAAAAATCAAGATATGCATATAAGGTAGAACTCTCTTTTGAAATTCAATAATATAAACATGTGCAACAATATAACTAAAGATAATTTTTTTCTTTACATCTTCTATAATTGCACGTTGCTTGAAATCAAATACACAAGTAATCAAGTATAGCTGGTCACTTGCTCATTGTTCTTGAAACAATTCGTTATGGATTTAAAACCATCTTAGATTTGTTGTCATTATCATAAAAATATCAAGATGTTGATAAAATCTTGTAATTATCATAGAATCTTAGAATATTTTTGTCATATGTCTTATACTTTCAATATGTAATGATGGAAGTAAGATCATGCATCCTAAATTATTTAATTCATATCGTCTTTCTTCAGGCCCAATACTTTGATGAATTACAATAGGATCCACTAATCCTTGGTATAAATCAGCACATAGATTATCTTAGTTATAATGTAGATATTGTAAATGTAATTGTTCACTTGTTGCCCATCTGTCAACCATAAATTCTTATAATAAATTTTCTCCATGCAAAATTGTGAAATACTTGGTAGGCCTTAAAAAAAGTTAATAAACAAAATAATCCATTTTTATAAGGTTATTGCATCTCCAATCCTCTTGTCTAGCACCTTCTCTTCCTTCAACAATATCTATCACTACATTTTGTGTCTTTAGATTAGGATGCCATCCAAAGGTTTCATGTAGAAAAAAGAAAATATAATAAAGGAGCAAATAAGCTTTATGAGCCTCATAAATCTTTTCTAATAGCCAATTATTACATAAGCAAATAATAATATTATCAAATGCATTATATTGTGATCCATCTCTAAGTAATATAATAGGAATTTCTTCAAAAGTAGTGGAAAGATTATATTCATGTCTATTGCTCTCATTTATGAAGTACAAAGAAACAACAAGATCTACTTCTACCACTCCTTCATTTTGTACTTAAGATGATATTTCATGTGCCTATCTATATAATCCAATAAATGAATTATTCTCCTTCAAAACTTCTCCAATTTTCTACACAATTTAGCTCAATAAACAATGATTACATCTCATTCTTTTATCTTGTACAAATGATTCATTGTAAATGTAGAGTTGTGCATAAGTTGGATTGATACCTTCTTCTAGTAACAATGCTTCTACTAAATGGCATAATTCTCTATTTATTCTTAAACTATATGGAGTATTTTTTTTGAAGCATAGATCAATTAATATTTGGACCTAAGGATGTAAATGCATGTGCAACATTGTATTAACAAATATTTTCATGAAACTTCCTTACTCTTGTATCTTGATCTTTAAATAAGCATCTCAAAAGCAAAGGCAAAGAAAGTAGAGATAATAAAGAAACTTTTCCTTGACAACAATATTATCCAAATAATGGCAATTCTTTTAGCAATTCGGCTAAATATTCACCAAATCAATATAATATATTATAATGAGGATACAAAAAATTCATCCTTCCTAGATTATGTATGGCTTTAGCACTTGTAACTATTTCAACTCCTCTTTGTGTTCTCTCATGTTCCCTACGCTATTGTTGAGCAATTGCTTTTCGATTCATTATTAAGGCTAGACCATTTACAACAACACAAGTTCTACCATACAATTGGAATAAGCGTAAAAATGTCAAAATTTTACCTCCATAAAATTTTAATAAAACCTTATTATTCAAGTATTTTAGCAAAATTATGCAATACTTATAAAATAAAAATGATATGTAGGACTCAATTAGTGAAATTACAATGCCATAATACTTTAATAAAAATATTCTATATCTATGCATGCATATTGATTATGATTATACATATTTTTTTTAACAAATTGCTTCAATAAAAAGTTTACTTTTTTAGAATATTATATTTTTCAAACTAAAATGAATAAATAAAATTTATAAATATTTATTTTTTTATTTATTAAAAAAAATTATTAAAAAATATATTTATATTTATATATATACATATAAATTGATATATGTATATACATATGAATTTGAGTATTAAAAAAA